TACGCCGTAATATTTGCATAAGTTTACAAATCGTAAATCTTACGCAATACTTCGCATTAAAAATATTCCTGATGTAGCAACCACACTCCTATACTAAATAGTTGAACTTATTCTAATTTAATTTGCGTAGATTAGTCTAAAATAGTATAAGATTGATTTTGATTTGATTTTTATTACTAGATAGAAATTTTTGTACTCTCCCTTTGTAATTTGTAATTTTGTAAAATTTTACTTTACTCTTAATAAAAATTGTGCAAAGCTACCATATGTAAAAAAAATTGATTTAATTCAAGTATTTATCAATTTAATTTAATATAAAATTTAGAAAATTATTGTGTTATAATATAAATATTTATAAATATAAACATGGTTCTTTAATTTAAGTATTTTGTAGAATTATATATTTAATTTTTTTATTCTTGATATATTTTAATTAATTGAATAACATATTTATTTTAATACCTAAAAATTTCAAATTTTAATATTAAATTTATTAAGATTTATCTTGTTTGAAACATTTTTATAATTTTATGAATCATTACATATAAATAATTATTTTAACAATTTAAATATTTATGGAAATTAAACTTTGTCTTTATTTTTAATTATAACTTATTATATGTATCTAATCAAGATTATCTATTTAATAAATTTATCATTAAATAACATTTTTAATTTTAATTTATACTAAAACATAAAAAACATAAAATTTCTTAATATAACCTAAGTTATAGTTGTTATATCTTGAAAAAAAAGCTCATTAATTATTAAAGATAAAGCTGTATTTATAATTAAGAAATATTTGAATTTAAAAATTTGATAAAATTGACTACTTTCCATTTTAAATAATTTATTATAAAATTTAAACTTTAACGCAATTAAAGAAATAACAAGAAATAATTAAATAAATAAACAAAAAGTGATTTACAAAGTCCAGTCCTTTTTCTTAAAATATTCGATAGCTTGCTTATGTTGTTTATAAGCAGCTAATCTCATATATTTTTCACCCAATACTTCATCCTTAATTCCAGACTTATCATTTAAATATAAAGTTGCAGCATTAAACATACCAACAGCTTGGCCATTTTCGGCGGCTTTTGTAAAATATTCGGCTGCTTCTTTTAAATCCTTCTTAATACCAATACCTTTAATTAAACAATTACCATAACGTAATTGAGCTTCAGGATCACCTGAATCCGCTACTTCTTTATATAAATTTGCTACTAATTTGTCTTTTGCTGTTTGGTCCATATCAAGTTTAACATAATTTTGTTGAATATAATATGCTTTATGGAATTTTGCCTTTAAATCGTTTAATTCTGCATATGCTTCAAAACATTTATAAGATAACTCGCGGTTGCTTTTATTTCTCACTGCTTCATCCACTGACATATAATTAAAATCTTCGAAATTTATGTTTTTCTCTTCTTTATTTTCTGGCGGAATACGAGGTGATGGAGGTGGTTTACCATCTTTCTGATAAAGTTCTTGTAATACGGTAAAGATCTTTGAAAATTGAGGCCTAAAATTATAATCATGATGAACAGCTAGGATAGATTTATAATGGCATATTAGTAAAGAGCATGCAATAGATTTATTAAAGAATAATTCCTACCTTTGTTTGCGAGTTCTTGATATTCTCTTGGTAAAGAACCATGAGAAAATTGTTCACGATATTTTTTAGTGCAAACGAGCTCTTGTATAATCGTTATATCGTTATATTTCTCATAAGGAATTTTCTTTTCAGCAATTTCCCAAAGTAATATGCCAAAACTATACACTTCACATTTGGTATCATATTTTGTCCTATTTTCTAACTTTTCAGGAGCGCAATACCGTATAGCTTCTAGTGTAGCAGCATGATTTTTTGTATTATCAGATACAGAACGACTTGCTTGAAAATTTGCAATTTTGGCCGTCTCATGATCAGTAATTAAGATATTCTCGGCTCTAATATCACGATGAACGATCTGTTACCCAAAATAACAAATGATTTCAATTATGAATTAAAATTTTCTTTGGATTATAGAGAATTTAAATAATAATAAGAAGAAGAAGAAGAATAAATTACCGAAGCGGAGCTCAGGAAATTCAAGCCTTTGGCAATGTCAAGAGCAAACCTTAATTTCAGCTTAACCCCAAGCGGATAATTTTGATAATATTCGCGTAAATTGCCATAATCAGCCCATCCAGTCACCAAATAAAATTTATTATTATACGTAGATAAACCATAATATTGAATAATACAATCACATCGTTCCAATTTTTTTAAAATTGTAATCTGTTTTCTAAGATTATCTTTATCTTCATGACTGCTGTTTTCATCAGTCAATAATTTGAATGCGACAAAATCACCATCTTTTTTTCTCTTATATTTTCTAACCTTTGTCAGTCTTAGATTATCTTTAAGTTCTCCTTCTTCATAATCATTATATTCGAGTAATTCACTTTTAAATACATCAGTATTTGCCGATTTCAACAAAGTTTCACTAAGTGCACTCAATTGTACGAAAATGGCCGAGATCTTATGATTCCCGTCAGTTACACCACTTCCGATTTCATCAAGGTACTATATAAGCGAATTTGCAACATAAGGTTTCTTGTAATATAAGTTTCAAATGTATGCATGGTACACATTACCTTCGTTAACTCATTGATATCAGACTTAATATCTTCACTATCTTTTTCTGCACGTACACTAAAATCGACCGTCAGAGAAAAGTGCAATGCTTGCATAGTGGAATCAAACTCATTACTTAATTCGTTAACATTACTTTCAATACTTTTAGCTTGAATATACTTGGATAAGCCTCTTAATTGAGAAATTTCTTCAACAAACTTCCGAATTTTACGAATGATATTCACCAATTTTTGTAAATGGGTAAAATTTCTTTTTGAAAAAAATTTTTCATTTTTGTCTCTACGATTTTTTAAATTCCTCAAGGCTGTATCAGCTATTTGGACTCTATCCAACAATATTCCACATATTTTTGTATTATGTTCAGCTGATTGATAAATTTCTACAATTTCATTAAATACTTCAGCTACCTCTTTTATAAGTGGTAGAAAACTTACAAATGGTAATATTATGCCAGTTGCGGTTTCTATTCCATCAAGAATAGGATTAAGCGTTGGTCCTAAAAGTTTAAATTCTTTTTTAATAAAAAAAATTTATTAAAAGAATTAAAGTTAAATGAGCAATTTATAGATCATATTTACCATCTGGTGAAGGAGTTTTCTCTAGAACCAATTCTTTTTTTTTTTTATTTTACGAAAAGATTTAGGAATTGATTATTATAAGATAATTATTATGGGCAAATGTATGATTAATTATCTTACTATTTGGTATTGTAGGAGCTTTCTCGAGATCCAAATCTTTTTTTTTTTTTTTTTTTACGAAATTATTATGAGATAGACATGATGAGCAAATATATAATTTATCTTACCATTTGGTGTAGGGAGATCCGAGTCTAACGCCGCCGCAAAATTTTTTATTAGGAAAATCATTTAAAAACTGATTATTGAAAGATATAGGATGATAAGAAATGCATTTACCATTTGATATTTTAGGTGCGGAAGTCTCCTTGGTTTTCGAATCTGGCGTTAATTTATTATTATCAATATTTAAATTATAGTGTGTGATGAACAAATGTATAATTTTACTTACCATTTGATGCAGGAGATCTCTCAGAATCCAAACCTGACGTTAATTTATTATTTTAGAAATTTTCGAAATGGATTATTAAAGGATTATGTTTGATGAAAAAAAATGTATTTACCATTTGATTTTTTTGATGTAGAAGTTTCCTTGGCGGTAGAATCTGGCGCTAATGTGTTTTATTTATTTATTTTCTTATTAAGAATTACAGTTTGATAAACAAATGTATAAATAATCTTTACCTTCTGATTTAGGGTCTAATTCTATTATTTTAAAAATTTTTTTTTTTAGAATATTTGTCTAATTATCGGTAGATACATACGTAAACATGTTTACTAGCTTTACCTGAATTTCCGGTACAGCAGATAAAATTTTTAATATTTTTAAGTAAAGGCATCATAATAAAATTTAGGAGAAAAAAATTATGAGGAAAGGTTTTATATAAACTGTAAACGTGCACAAAAATGTGGTGTCGTACGCCGATCGCTAAAAAAGAATAATAAACTTCTTTATTAAATTACTTAAATTGATATTTAATTATTTTGGTGACTCCAAATCCTTCATTTCCATATTTGTCGAGGATACGCAAGCAGAATTTTTGTTTTATTTGGGTGGACATTATTAATTTATAATTCCGCCTGGCACAACATCCTAACACGCATCCAATTGAAATTTTGCCACACGTTTAAGATGTAAAAGATAACGATAAAGAACATATCTAAACAACCAAATAATAAATTTGAGGATTGAATTGAAATGTAAAGTAACAAAGAAAAACAAAAAAATAATGGTTAAAAAAGAAAAATTAATGTGCAGCCTTACCTCGTCTTTGTGGAGTTACAATAAATGTGATTTGGTAATAAAGGTCGACATTAGATGCTTTGAAGGTAGGTTTGTTCAACCATAGGTAATACCGAATCCTCATTTGAAAATCTTTTAAATCAACAAGCTTCGCCTATCGTAGATAAAAGATTCCGATTAAATTTTTCTTTTTTGTCAAAAAACTTTTTGGATAAATATATTCCATCAGAAATTAACAATTTAATAACTCTTCAAGAAGTTGTGTCTAACTGCTCGTAAATATTTTTAAATATAAAGCTTTTTAGTGTTCATAAACCATGGCTCCGCAAGATTAATGATTCAAATATATATAACTGTTAATTTTATTACCTGCGTATATAATTTGTTATTCGATTATTTAATTGTGAATTACATCATATTATAATAACGATGTAAATAAAAAATCGAGTCTTTCTAATTCGAGTTCTGTAAATATGTTCAAGAACCAACCCTTACGGAGTACCAGTAAGTAATAATAGCGTCGATTTGCATAAATCAGAGATTTCTGCGGTAAGAAACTTCCATTTTGAAATTAAAATTGGATTTCAAATATTCGAAATGATATATACATTTTTTTTATTGAATCATTGTATTTTATTTTTATGATTTTAGTTGATTTATTTTATTAATTTATTTATTAAGAAAGTTCTTTCCCTTTGATCCTAAAGGATCCATAACATGTTTAAATAATTTTACCGAGTATATTTCCAGAAAATTTTTCCTCATGACAAAAACTAAAAATTAAATCGTTTAAACGAGACATGATCAAAATATATAACTACTATGTTTCAATACGTAATCACTTCATCGGCTTAGTAAGATTTCAGAATTTCACATTTTAACGAAATTTATGACAAATTCGGGAAATACCACTTATCGAAGTTTTAGCGAATAAAATTTACCTATTGAATCAAACTCTTTGAGGATGGAATAAGATAATTCACGGAGAAATGATTTATTTATTCATTTTTGCGATACAGTTTCACTTCTTTTCTCATCAAAAGCCAAATCAAAACATAGGGGTTTCGACTTTTTCCATTAGCCAGAAAATTGGCCCAGTAAATATACAATTTAGTACTTCTTATTCGTGATAACATGAATTTAATGAAAACAGCGAAATTGATAAATTGTTTTTCAAATTATGCAAACAAAAAGTTCAAAAAGCATAATGTATTTATTTTATGAAACGCATTCTCACGAGAAAATGTTAAAGCCAAAGTATTGTATAAACTTTCGATAAGGTTATTCATTTCAATATTACGGTACTGTCAAAACTTAAGGATTTATCCACAACCTTTTTCAACTGTTTACTGAGCTTATTAATTTCTGAACATGGAAGATAAATTCCCAAACAAATGAATTGCTACAATAAAAACTAATAAGTTTATGTACGAAGTTAACAATCAAGTTGTTAAAATCTAAGAAAGATTTATACAACAATTTATATTATCAAAATACCCTTTTGGTAGTTAGTTATCACAATCAAAACTTATATGGAGACACAAAGAAGTGTGAATGTATTAACCATTTTAATATAGGAGATAAATAAATATAATAATTAAAATAGGTATAATAAAGAAAATAGATTCGTTAGATAAATTAGACATAAGTAATATATATATATTTTAAAGATTTTTCCACAGCTAAAGGTTACGTGACATTATACTCAGGGTTTTTGCACCTTATCCCCCAACTATACAGCGATCTCCAACTTTCTCCTGGCCTGGTTACATAAATTCTTATTTTTTATAGCTTATAGCTTTAGGCTTTATGCTTAGCAATCAGTTTATTGGACAATGGTTTAATTTATAGAAAATTATTTAATTTTAGGCTGCATTTCGGTATCTGGGCGCAGCTACAAATTGGGTGGTCTTACCACCTTAAAAATCAGCTGTCGCAACTACTTGTCTCTCTTATCAATAATCCATTAATTTTCTGTGTGGTTCAAGTCGGACTGTTTGAACAGGAATTTCTTAGCTATGCAGATCGTATGCTTAGGATCGTTATCTTGCCGAAGGCACTAAATGTAACAACTACATGATATTAGGAATAAACTTCCTTAAGATTTCATCTTAAAGACTGGAATTGTCCCGATTACAAAATCCACCTCATGCGTTGATCCTTTTGAATACGAAAATATAAATTTTGCACAGTTTTATTTCAGACATTCTAACACTTTTGTTAGTGCAACCTTGTAATCGTTAGGGTTGCAATTGGCACTATTTGTCATGATCAAAGCCATTTAACTGCCGAAGTATCATATTCTATTGCAATAATTTGGATGCTAACTATCAAGAAGAATTGCAGGATTTCTTCTAAATATACTGTCCAAGAGTTTTAGACCTCTGAGGTGATTTCTGGAACGACGGAAAGTTGTTTTCTTTATCATTACCAGATTATAACATATTTTGAAACTTGATCATTTTATTTTTTATGAAATTTTAATAAATGATTTACAATACACCTGCTTAACAGTTAATTCCAAAGTAGCGTCATGGCTGCCGGGTCATATATACTTATAAATGGTGACAACCAGCATTTACTAACAAAAAATTTCTCTGTCCTAAATATTCTTAGTAAATTGAAGAATGGTCGAATTTCATCGATAATATTTGTTATTTTAGAACAGTAACACAAATACCTTTGTTCCTGCATAAACTTTTTACAGGGAGAAAGGAAAATGGAGTAAATGGTAAATATAATATTCTATAGATATAAATTGGAATTAAAGGTCGCTTGTTGTGCCGCTAATTAATATTTTATAAATAATATAATATTTCATTGAATTTTAACATAAACATGTATAATAATTATAGAATATTTATTAAATGTTTGCAATAATTTGAGAGTATTTGTATTCTTTTTCAACAGCAAATGTTCTCTATTTAAGGATTTAGGTTTTTAATCTTTTTTTTTTTTTTTTTTTTTAGGTTTTTCAAACGCAACCCTAAGAAAATTGTCACAAGTTTCTTAAAAAGAATGTACTAAAATTGAACGTACAGTTGTTAGTATTATTTCAATTTGTATAAATACCGTGTTATTTTGGTCGGGTGGTTATTAATCTGAGGGTGAAGAAATTACAATTTACCCTAGATGTAATCCGAACCATTTTGCTGGTCATAACCTCACAAGATAAATTTTAGGAATATAGCCAATCGAGTTTTAGATTCTGAGATCCGTTTAAAAATCGAGGAAAAAAAATATCCTAATCTGCATTCTCGTATGGTCCTCTAGTAAACCGTTGCCAAAATATTGGATGGTTTGTGATAGTAGCGAAAGGTTATATTTTATCTGTTTATTTGGTTGAAAACCCAAGAAACATGTATCATGTCTTTTCTTTTCTAGTATATTTGTTATATCTCGCCCGTATTTAAGATATTTCTGTGTAGTTTTAATTAAATATATATCATTTTTTTAGTATCCTTTAAAATTTCGTAGTAAGAGTGAAGAGACGGAACTTTTAATTCCGTCTTTCTATCTTACGTTTTGATAAATGATGGAGGTCATTAATATTTGCGAGTCGAATGGGGCAAATCAATTTTTTTTAAAAAATAAAAAAATTTGCTCGCCTTTGTCAACATACTATTCCTAATTCCCCTTTAAATTACGATACAATTTGATTACTATTCAACCAAGAGAGTAATATAACAAATTACTTAGTCACGTAGAACAATTTAATTTGTACATTGTAATCAAAAAAAAAAAAATTCGAACTCATTTTTCGTTGATTCTTTTTCATACGATTCGTATGTTAAAAAAAAATGTTCTTCTGTCATTACAAATGATTAGTGAAATTTTAGAATTTCGGTGATACACTTCATTTTTTCAGTTACATCGTTATTCTGACGACAAAACCATCGAATTAGGCGAGTTTAATGGAAAGAAATGTCTTTATAAAATCAATTTTGTTCTATCGAAAAAGCACGCTTATATAAAGCATAGAAATTATGTTATATTACGGATTAGGGATGGTAACAGTCGGTCGTGGTCGGTCGGTCAACGGTCGGTCAAAGGCCTTTGACCGACCGACCAGTTTAACTAACCAATTTTTACTGAACGGTTGACTGACCGGTCCGGTTAATAGTAAAATAATTGAGCAGTTACGGCTTAATAGAAAATTATAATTTAGCAAAATATTATAATTTGATTCTTGCATTAACAATTCTATCATGGCATTTTTTAAAACTACTATATAGTGGCGCAACATTATCGCGGACTTTAAATTTTTTTTTTATAGGTAATTAAAATAAAATTTTGATTTGTAAATTTAATACAAAGTGTTTAAAACATGGTTAAGTCTCAAATCAGTCGGTCAAAATCGGTCAAAATCGGTCAAAATCGGTCGGTCTACCGGATCCTATATGTTGGTTCATACAACAATTGCTCTTACCGATCGGTGTAACGAAGGGAAGGGATTCGTACAAAAATACATGGTGATCATATACTCTTGAAATGTTGGGGAAAATTAGTGAAACCGATTGACATGACACCATATTAAATGAACAATACTAAAACGAACATCAATCCATTTGAATTGTACGGCAGTTTTATGCGGTTGATGATGAATGTATGAGGACAACTTTCTTAAAAAAAAAAAAAAAATTATAAAAATTATAACTTTACGTTTTCTAAAATAAATTTATTTTTCTTGAGCAAAAAGATTAATTTCTTTATTCTTGAAATGGTCGACACACCGGTGATTATTCCCGTACAAGACCACGTAGTACACGGAGATGGAGTCAAATCACTTGAAATAATAAATACTAGATATTATATGGTAGCAATGTCGCCAAATGCAAAATATATTGTTGGTTATGGTCTTGATAACGAATGTTTTGTCGGATGGAATATTCAAGACATAAATGAAGGAAAATTAGAATTAGATGATACGGTTAAACCATATCGATATGACTTGAAAAATAGGTCTATATTCAACTTATCTGTCTCTGACGAAAAAATAGTAGCGTTTACGTTATATAAAAATTCTGGTAAGTATTTATAATTCAAATTGTTTTTTGTTTATAAATAATTTAATGACAATTTTTTTTTGTTATTTTTTTTTAGAAATAATTGATATGAACAATCCAGGATCGAAAAATAGAATTAGATTTAATGATTGAATTAACTATTTTATCATATCATTTTAATACAAAAAATGAGCTTATCTTACTTGGTTATAAAAATGATAATGGTTCTTTCTTTATTCGGGTTCATTCAACACAAACTGAAGATAACAAATGAAATTTTCAAAATGAATATGAAATAGCTGAAGGAATGGAATTAATAAGTATAAAAAATGATAAAATTTGGTTACGTAATGGAAATTGCATAAAGGAATCAAATTATATAACTTGTAAAAATAAAAATATTCGTATTTTCAAAGACAGAAACGAGGTAATTTTTTTAGAATCTTTTTAAATAATCGAAAATTTAATGGAATGGAAATACAAATTAATATTTATACCTTAAAAAATGACAGGTTAAAACGGAAGATATTCGTATTTCTAGTAATGATAAGTTTACTTGTCTGAAAATAAATGATGAAATAATTGTTTATTCGGATGAAATTGAAAAGCCTTTTGCATTATTGGATACAAATTATGGTATGTTCATTTCAAAAAATGCAAATATGTCAATATATTATCATTTATATAAAATCATTTCGTTTTTAGGTATACAACTATATACATTTATGAAACAACATACTGACTTGCAATATTTGTTACTCTCATTAATTGGCAATATGTCGAATAATAAAACTTGGGTTTATTGCTTAAACCATATAACGAAAGATCCGTTATTAAAGAATAATAAAACTTGGAATTCCTTTTTAAATCAATTAATGAATAATTCATTAAAGTATTTACCACTTCTATTCTTTCAAAACCATTTATTTGTAATTGTAGATGATTACGTTCTTAAAATTAAAATTGATTTGGAGTTAGATATCAATTCTTTAGAGGAATTACAAATGTATGAAGATGCAGAAAATTGGATGGCATATTTCGGAATCGAAAAGGCTAAAAATAACAATAATCCGTTTATTACCAATATGGAGATTGATAATCAATTATATAAATCTCTTTTTAAATTTAATGATAAAACATTAGTTTTACAGGATATTAAAGTAGATATTCATAAATATAGAAAAATTATCGGGTTACGTGTTTATAAAAGAGCTAATAAGGATGATTATTGGCATTTAACTGTTGAATATGTTCAAATGATTAAAGGTCAAGTAAATATAGATATATTTGAAGCCGAAAGGGTAAATAACGATATCGGCATCCTAACTAGTATTGGCATTTTTATCTTCAATATGAGTGAAAATGATGAAATATCATTAAAACATTTTCATTATATACTATTGGAAGAAACTATTTTTCAAAAGTACAATGCATTGATCGATTATAAGGAACTAATTATGGGATGGATCTCATACATAAACAATGATAAATTAGATTTTTTAAAATATGGTCATGTATTACTTAGGTTTGCAATTAAGGTGCATGACATAAAATTAATATCTAATATTTATAAAACATGTTTTTATAATTTCAAACAAGATTTAGAAAATAATAAAACTTTCTTGAGTATTATTACTACGACGATGCCATTATTTAAAGAATCTTATCCTGACTATCTTATAAGATATTCATTGGATACAAACATGATAATAGATTCTATGGATTATAATGTCAGACAACATTTACCCTTATATCTTCATCCTTGTACTATAAAGGAAAATATTTATAGACAGCGCGAAACATTTATCGGAATAATTATTTATAAATTAATTTATGTATTCGATAATAATATTTTAGGTCGAGTATTCAGCATGCTTTATTTAGCTATGTACCATCGTGAATTAAAACCCGCAATTACATTTATCATTCCATATTTCAAATTTGTTAGTTATCCACAAAAATATAGTTGGTGGAAGGAATTTATTAAACCTCAACCTAGTCCATTTGTAGAAACCATATCTAGAGATATATATAAAACAATGAATGGGGAAGCTTTGATTATTTTCAAATGGAATTCATATGGAAAATTATACTACGCGATTATATGGACGGGATTTATGGCTTTACTTGGATGTTTTACTGTTGCTGCAACAATTTCTGAAGATCTTATATTTCAAGATATTAGAAAAAACCTATTGCTTGCCTCAATGATCCTTGGATTTATTCACTTAACTTTTGAAATTCGTCAATTCATTTATAATCCCTTCAAGTGGATTCGTGACTTTTGGAATATATTTGGTTTGTTAAATACTACTGAAATTTATTATTTCAAGGAATATAATTAATTCTTACATTTATTATAGATATAACAGCATATCTTCTTACAATTGGCTCTTCTATTTATTGGTACCAAACAAATGACAGAAATGTTCAACTGCTTTCTATCACGTGTTTATTTTTAGATATGAAATTTCTATTATTTTTTAGAGTATTTGAATCCTTTGGTGTCTATTTTGCGATTATTATTAGTGTTGCAAAACGAATATTCTCTTTCCTGGTGGTCTTAGGAATCATTATAATTAGTTTTGCACATGCATTTTACATCTTATTGTCTCTAGAAGATCCTTGGAAAATCACAACTACTTATACTACTTCTGATCAAGTAGGGTCAACTGATCCTAATCCATTCATAATTCAAGCCCCTGATGAAAATACAAACTTGTTCAGTGATTATGGTACCTCTCTTTTTGCGATATATTTATTTTTAGCAGGTATGGTTCGATGCATTTTTTTAATAATATAATTATTGTAATATCCCATAGCTGATTCAATTCATTACAGGAGATTCGAGCGCTTTAACCCCATGGCCATATAAAGATAATAAAATACTTGTCTTATTGATGGTTTCATTCTCTTTCTTGGTCGTCATATATCTCATGAATTTGTTTATCGGGTTACTTAATAACGAGATCGAAAAGGATAACAATAAAGTCTCGTATTTGTTACAAAAAGCGAGGGTTCGATATTTAGAAAGTATCATAATTTTTGAACTTTATTAATGTTATAACTAATATTTATTTTCTTTAAGATTTTAGCGGAGATTGAGTTATTTTACTTACTTCCATATCAAAGACGTAGGGAATCCTGGTTTCCTGATGTAATGTATGTCCACTTTGTATATTGCTTTGATCTTTTAATTGTTATATTATTCTTGCAATTCACCCTAATACGCCCAATATTTTATTAGCTATTATCATGCCGATGTTGATGTGGTGCGTAGAAGGGTTAATGAACTAATTAAGGATAATGAATGGGGTTCGGTTGAATTACCAGAGATGAATAAAAAACTATTAGATCAAATAAAAATTCAAAGATAAGTTTTTATCATCATTAAAAAGATTTAAATATTTCGATGCAATGTTATTTTTTATTCTTTCTTATTACCTTTAGATAAAGTTCTTCATTTGTTGTATAATTTTATTCTTTGTTTTTATTTAAAAATTGATAAATATATATTTTTTAAAATAAATTTTGCTATTTTAAAGTATTCATGAAAGTATAAGATGGACATATATAGATTAAAATAATAAATTTTAATTGTCGCATTCTAATGTCAAAATTGTTTTGATTTCCACAGATTCATTTTTACAAGATAAAAATCTTTATTTGTGAAGAACGTTAATAGTTTAATAAATATGTTACATTAAAATATTTAGGTTGCTATTGCTAGACTTGCTAGATGCGTAATAATCTTAATTCATGAAAAATCAGTAATTATTTTTATTTTTGTGATGACGTGGGTATTTAAAAAATCTTATCGTATTTAATCAATTAAAATTTTGAGTAATTAATTATTAATTCATATCGGTTTATTATAATTTTTTTTTGAAATTCCACACTAATCAAACATTTTATTCCTTTGGGAGAGTTATGTTATAATTATTCTATTTCCCAATATTAATATTATAAATAGACACATGCATTTCGCATCTTACGTTTAAATTAAAATTTCTTTAAATCATTATTAGAAATCAATAATAAATTCTTGATTAATATTTGCGGTATCCGATAAATCAGCGAAAATTTTGGTTGAACCGAAGCTGGTAGGGTAATATCGGTATGAAGTATTTCAAACAGAATGAAAGAGATTAATCAGTTATTTCTGACTATCGTGATGAGAAGAAATTCTCCTGACGAAATGAAATTATGGGTTATATTTTAAACAATACCTAAAAGACGAATAAATTAATAGGTATTTCTTGAATTGTTACCAATTGATGAGCAGTCTTTATCTCATTAAAGTTTTTTTTTATAGTTTCAAACAATGAATTTAATAAATTCACCTTTTCTAAAATCAAGATAAAGCTGGCTGGCTGCAAGCCGAATAACAAAATCGATTCCATATTTAATTGATGCATTAATGCGGCTATTCCATTGATGTATACTTTTAAAAGAAAAATAATTATTAACAGTTTAATTCAACTAACTTCATAAATAAATTACCGAAAATCACTTCGGAAAGGTCTTTTGGGGAATGTATTAAAGTTCTTGCTGCAGTGAAGTCTTTAAATGGTACACTTACAGTACAAATTTAATTTCAATTAATTCATCATTATAATTTCCATAATCTAAGCTTCCGCAAGAGTATTATACAAACCTGTATATTATGGTTTCGATTGTGTGTATAGTATGGTTCTTTTTAATGTATGTAATATATGTATACTTTAAAACTATACCTATACATATGATTTTTTCATAACAAATAGTCCATACTTGTGTAGTTTCTAATACTATATATGAAAAAAACCATATTCAAACCACAATAAGGTTTGCTAACATGTCCCTTCCGCAAGTAGTCTATTTATTAATAAATATTTGTTGATATCTAATTGATTTTTTTTGTTGTCCATATTAATTATGACTCACCATTATATATCATTGTATCGATATCTAATCTTAAGCTTATTAATATTTAAAAGAATTTAACTTAAATATTCTTTATCATAGAGTTTGGGAAGAATTTAATATCAAAGGCATTGATGAAAATTAGCTTTTGATTGATATTCTTTGATTATCTCAAATCGAAATTAGTTATGGCAACTTTATTAATGAATTAAAAAATACAAGAATTTTAAAAATTTTAAAAATAGTTCGTTTTTAAAATAAATAAAAATAAATAAAATAAATATCCAATATTTAAATGCTATTAAATTTAATAAATAAATACCGCGAAAATAAATGCTATCTTTTTGATTTAACAAGTGTCATCGTAATTTTGGAAAAAATTTATAAGTTTATTTTTATTTTTAATATTTATTAGATTGGTTCCGCCATCATTCTACTGGAACAAATGTTGCTTTATTAATAAAATGTATAATAATTGGAAATTTTTTTTTTTTACCTTTAATTCTCTATATGGGGAGTTTGCTAGGAAAATCAGCTCGGGAATTTTTTTGACTAAAATTAAGACCTTATTACATTTTAATCTAAATAACATCAAAAATAAAATTTTGTTAAAAAATTCTCAGAGCCTGGTTTCCCTAGCAAACTTCCTATATTTGGTTTCATTTAACTATTTAATCCAAACGAAGCTTTAACCGTGGACCAAAGTATAATTTAATACTTAAAAACAAGTTAAACATATCACTAGATCATCCGGATCTTCCGGGTCGAGTAAAACAATGACAATGACCCGACGGGTTTTATTAAATTAGGATTCGTGCAATTAAAATGATAACCCGACTCGAATTAACTTTCGAATGACCCGGGTCGATTCGATCACTATTGTTAATTAAAATTACATATAGCAAATTGAGAATTATTTCTTTCGAAAAATTGAAGTTTGCTAAAAATTTCTTTAACGCCATCTCTTATCACCACCAAATACTATTATTTACATATATGCACGTATTAAATGATTCAATGTCTCGTAAATAGCAAACGATCCCTAAGAAAAATTTTCAACTAATTAAAAAATATTTTTTTTTTTTTTTATGCAACAAGTTGAAAAGGCCGAATATAAAACTTTAATAATTATTTCCTCGCAAAAAACATTGTTAAAAATATTTATTTGATTAAAACCTCTATAAAACGACCTATAAACGAAAATATTAACCTAAAGTGATTTTTTAAAACATTTGCATTACTTTAATGAAATTACATTCGAATTTCGAAAAGATTTCGATCGTTTCGATCATCTTTTGGTGGGGGTTAATTGACCATAAAAATAAATAAAATATATATTATTTTCCTTAATAATTTAATTTAGGCTGGGAAAAGTATATTTTTAGATTCTAGTGACCCCGGCCGTGTCAGCTTTACGAAAATTCATGATTTTTTTTTTATAGTAAAATTTTTATCACATGACCTACATAATATAATAAATTCGAAAATGTGAATTTGTGACCTTGAAATTTAACATCCTTACCACGCTTCTTCTTATTTAAAACTGTTGTATGACATTCATTGCAATAATAGTAAAATACTTCATCACTGATTTTATTAGATTCATCACATTCATCGGTACTTTTCCAAATATCTTCAAATAATACACCACTTGAATAATAAGAAACTTCCATGGAATTGCTACATGTTAATTTATCAACCTCAAAAATTCTCCCTACATCATCACTTTTGCTATTCTAATCATTAACATCTTCCATTTCTGTGCTTGAGTTTGCTAAAGCTTCAAAAGAATCACCGCATATATCATAAAACAATACATATAAAAATTTACATATATAAAAAAAAGGGTGACCGTGTTCAATTTTAAAATTTTATGTCACGAGTATCTAAAAATTTCCTTTGCCTGGCCTTAGCGTTAGTTTTAAGAATAATTATTAATTAATTAAGACTCGTCTAGTTTTAATTTTTTTTTTAAAAAAATAAAAATAAAAATAAAATGCGATCGATAACCATTTTTTATAGTTAAAAACTAACTTAATATATTAATTAATTTTTTACTTTTTTTGACACACTCTTTATTAATTAATATTTAAATATGACAAATAAATGAATTCTAATACAACATATAACAAAATATGCTCAAAATGTTTAAATGAAATTTACAACTAATTATGCGTAAAAATAAACCTAAATGAAATCTATATTAAATTTCTATAATATGAAATGAAACATATTCTAAATAAATTATCCAATTTACTTTATAAAAATACTTAAAAAGTTCAAAATGAAGTTAGTAAGCTTTAAACTACAATTTCTAATAAAGGTTCTAAGAAGACCAACAGGAGTGGACATTCGCAATGCCGCAGATCTAGATTTTAACACATCGACGGGTGATATTTTTCGCATTTCATTTTCATATTCTTGAATGCAGGAAATAGGGTCTTCTGATGAATAATTAAATAATGCTTGGGAGAGAAGTTCGGCATCTTGAAAAGCATTATTTGTTCCCAATCCAAGTACATAGCATGAACAGCATCTCCTAATTATATTTATTAGTAATTTTCAAGACAGTATTCAAGTATTTAATTAAAATATACACGTCAAAATTATTTCAAGTGGCTTTATTTTTGAAAGAAATCTGCGACTAATGTCAACGGCACATGATATATTTCCTTTTTTTTGTATCAATAATGGTTCGGGTTAATATTTTGTGAAACGCAGACGTTAAAATTAGTAAATTCTTCCCAAGTTTTATCAAACAATATGTCCAACTTAAAGGTTTGTTCGGGATGTTATCAAGAAAAAAATATAAATGAATTTTCGAGCAGCAGCAAAAACATTATAAGAACTACTTGTAGTAGATGTAGAAGTAAAAACTCAACACAAAAAAAAGAAAATGATGTGAAGCAAATCATCAAGAAACTCTTATCATAATAAAGAAAATGCCAGCTTGCCTAGTCATCTTCCTGATATTATGTATGTATATTTATTAGAAATAAATGAAATGAATGAAACAAGTGAATTTTTAGAAAATGAAAGTGCTCGACTTGTTATTGGAGAAATTTTAAATCTGGAACCTTTGATCGAAGAGTTGCCGGTTACACTAACTGATGAAGAAAGAGATAAAGAGATTGCTACGAAAATCATTTCTTTAGCTTCATAAGGAGATGAATATCGATACGATATATATATTATTCTAAACAAGTTCAATCAAAGGCTATTTTATTTCATTATTGGTGTAATATGCGTATAGAATTAAATAAATGTTCAACTAAACACCAAGACCCAGCTAAACAACGTGATACAAATCCAAAAAATTTGGTGACACTTATGTGATGTGATGGTTGTATATCGATAAAAATTGACTATCAAAAAAATCTCATATTTTTTAAATTAAATATTGTAAAAAAATATATTCACGCTAATATAAAATTAAGTGCATCAGAAATATTTTGTAGAATCAAAGAACAACAGTTACTGGGATATGAAATGCTTACTAAAGCACAAGTATACTACTGGTGGACTCGTGAAGCTGCATTAGAATATAAGAGAGATAATAATGAAATAATTTCTGTTCAAGAGAGAAAAATTATCCTATAATTTTTCAAACAAATGAACCTGTAGAATCATTTGCTTTTATTACGCCATTTCTTTCTCAACATTCACACTATGCTCTAGAAACTGTCGTTACAGATGCAACATATAATACAAATAGTATGAAGTAAGAACTTTATGGGAATATGAGAATTATTGACGGAACATCATTTCCTTTATCATATCTTTTAGTTTCAGCTGGCAAAAATCGGTTAATAACAAAAAATTTTAATGGGATAGTATATGGCACTTAAAGAGCATGGTGTTAATAATGTAAAAGTATTTCTTACTGACAAAGTTATGACTCAAATCAATACAGCATTATCACTTTAGCCAAATATACATGTTCAATTATGTTTATGGCATGTAAAAGGGCTGTAGAACAACATTTATCTTCAAGAAATAAAATTGTATAAACACAATATAATGCTCAAGAAGCATACATCCAATGCTCTATTATCGTTCCATATTGGCAATCATTAATATTATGCACAACTAATATTACAAATAATAATTCTAAAATAAAACAAACAACGTCTAAAGTTTATGCTAAATTTTTTTATAAAGGAACAAATAGACATAACAATTCAAAAAAATGGAGCAACATTTTCATCATCATATGCTAATTCCAACAAATCCGTAGGAAATTTGGATTCATTGTGTAAAGGAAATGTTTCAATTTCGTTACCAAAACTATTTACAAATGGCATGGGCTTATTTATGGAAGAATTGGTATATTTGGTCTTAATTTGCCTTTGAGCAAGTTATTCATATCCTGAAATTATAATTAATAAAACAACTATGCTTATTGAATCACATTGGAGAATAATAAAGCGGGATCATTTATATAAGTTTGCTCGTCTAAGACTCTATTATTTAATTTAAAAACTTGAATAAAAATATATTACTAAATACCAAACTTGTTGTGCAGTTTGCGTAGTTTCCCATTTACTTGAAAGGTTATCATATTTTAACAAAAAAGTGACCAACTTTACAGAGAGATCTTTCTAACATCTCATTAATAAACAGCAGAAAAATTTGTCTCAGAACGTTCATCTTAACCCAGAGTTTTAAAAAAAAATAATTGATAAAATTTATTGGTGGAAAATAAGGATTACATATGATGAAAAAACCGGAACATTTAATCATAGTAAAAGTGATTGACGAGCTGCATATTTAATTAGTAAATACATTTGACCCCCTGATTCCGGTGACTGATAGTATTTCATTCACCATTTGCATAATGAGCGCTGAACGAATAAATTCAGTACCAAAATGACCGCCAAAATATGATGATGTCGTACAAACATTATTTTTTTGCTAAAAAAAACTCTCGCATTAATTTTCGGGTAGATTTATGCATCACGTTTTTATACGAAGAAATGACCGTTTCACCAATTCATCGATATAAATTTCATTGGCATCAATTTTTTTTATAAATATCCCTCATAAAAAAAAGAAGGTAAAATCAAACAAAATCGTGTTTAATAAAGAGTCAAAAGATTACATTTTAACAACCTTGACAAATAATTTTAACAATCTAAAAATTTAACTCTTTAATAATTTTAAACAAAATTTTAACACATTTGAATTAACTTATTAAGAAATTCAACACGCAAAAATTCCAAAAGTAATTATTATCGGTACAGGTCCAGGAGGACTTGCTCTTTATCATGCATTGATAAAGAACAAAGATAAAAAAGAATTCGATGTAAAAATCTTCGAACGGGATTCCAGTCCAAGAGGTATAAAAAATTTCTTGTACTCATAATTGATCCTATTTTTTAAAACGTGACGTTAAACTATTATAGAACGATGGCAAGGATATCATATAGCGTTGAACTGTCCCGGAACTCGATCGCTTTTGAATTGTGTACCATCTTCGATCAATTCAAACCTTCATAAAGCGATGCCAAATCCACTTCCTGACGTAGAATTCCATGGAGTCTCGCTTTTCATAAAGGAAGCCTTTTATTAAATCCACCATCTAAACAATATAAAAACTTTAACGAACTTGTAAAATTTCCTCATGAGTATTCACTGATCGTTACTTATCGTGATAGACTTAGAGATGTATTATTAGAAGTGTACCGGTACACTGGGCAAAAAATGCATTAAATACGAAGAAACCAAGATGGTGTTTGGATAATGTTTGATGATGGTTCGCAAGAATATTGCGATATCTTGGTTGGCAGCAAATGGAATTAATTCTCCAGGTAAACTTAAAAAAATTCCCTTGAATAAAATAGAATAAATCAATAATATATATATATATATATATATCTAACGTTTCTTTTTAGTTCGAAACAGAGACTACCCGAATTACAAATTTTCGATTTTGGAATACAAATGTCGTAGCAAATATTGCTGTACCTAAATATCTTATGGACAGATTCATAAAATTACAAGGAAATAGTTTATTACAAAAATCACTCGGATTACATGGTGATTCGTCAACGCTTATTTTTCGTCTAATTCCAATAGAGCAAGAGCCAGGTTACGAGAATAAAAGCAATTCTAATGAGCTTCATTATAGAGTAACCTTGAATTATTCGTATCCCACAAAATTAGACGACGTTGAATCCGATAAAATTAAAGTTGATGATAACGATTCTGCATCAGTCATTGTACATGTCAAGCAGATGATTCGAAATTTTAGATCCGGATGCGAATTTGATGATATTATATTAGAATTATGGGACTTGGTTCCTAAATCAACTCCAAATGATCCAGAAAAATTTCAATTTAAAACTTATAATCCGACTCTACGAAGACCTTATCAAGATATTAATCCATCATCTATTCAACCTTGGACAAGTAGTTGAGTAACATTATTAGCGAATTTCGATTGTTGGTTTAAAGTATTAAATTATTCGTTAAAGATTAGGCATAGTTCCACGGTAAATTCATAATAGATGATCGCGAACGTTCCATGTTGTGTATAAACTAAAACCCAAAAATATATATTAAGGACATAAATTTTTTTTACTTCTTTTTAGAAATTAGTTTCAAATTTAATAATAAATATAGAAATTACAGATTACTTATGAATGAATAATAATAAATCTAGCATTTAAAATTTAAGAGTGATCCTAGTGAATAATACTGGTAATACTTTTTTATTATTTTATTCCGATTTATTTGGTCTTAATTATCAACTTACTAGAAATTTGTTATAAAAATGATGAGTTCTGACAATAATTCCTTACATTTTAATTTAGATTTTTGACATGTAACGAATCTCCAAGGCATTTCCTAAGAGAAACAAGCGATTTATTTCAATTGCTCATGGCGTAGCTGCTCTTGCTTAATGTTTTCTCTTTTATAAATCTTAATTTCTATTAATTGGACTTTGTAATTTTATGAGGTTTTATTTTCTGTCTTAAGTATAGTTCTAATCTTTTAATTCTTATTTATTTTATACCTCCAAACACCACGATATTTATTATACCATACCAATAGGATGACGATATTGAAATGTTTGCCAAAGGCTAATAATATTTTTCATCTAATTTTTGTACGTGGAAAATTAGTATGATTGATAGTGGATTAAATCTGAATTTATTCGTTAGTTCAAACATCCAAAAATAGGACACCTTTTATTATTTAAATTAAATAAGTCATGTACAGTATAGTTTAAGATTCATAGTTCCGTTATAGGTACGTATTTTTATGCAACCGATTAAACTATTTATTGTTTGTTCCACATCAACTAATATTATGAATGAGAGATTCCGTCACTTATGTTTAAAAAAACTGATAGCATAATTTTATGAACTTTAAATTAATAATATCCCAGGTGATGGTAATTTGTCTCTCTACAGTTTTACTTAAAGGAAAAATTTAAATAATTATCGTTTACATTTCAGGATAAAAAATAGAAATGAAAAAATTCTGGTCAGCAGTTTTGATATTTTTTGGGACAAAACGGACATTTTCGATGAAATATTTTTAACATATTTTTCATAGGGAATTCTTTAATAATTGGGAGTTTTGCTATTAAAACGAGTTACGTATATATTTATTTAATAGCAAAACCTCCCAATTGATGAGGTATTAATTTTTATTCTTGTAATAACGCCCAACTTTGAATTTGGATAAAGGAAAGTAGTAAATTGAGAGATCGAACAAATTGAAGTAAATTTGTCATGTTGTAATTTAAATTTCATGTTTTTAAATTTTATTTATTTAAAATAATTATTCGCTACGTTTTGAAGTTCAATATTATCATCCTCATTCAAATTGCGGAAATAAACAGTTGAAAATCATCTGTTCTGCTTTACGCAAATATAAGTAAAAAACAAACGAAGCTTAGAATTATTTTAATCAAATGAATAAGTAAATTAGTTTATTTCTCAGCTTGATTTTAAATTTACGCTATTACAATACTAATCAATTTTTCAGATTTATAGTTATTCAATTAAAGCAAAAAGTATTCGAATTTTATTTATTTACTTTATTTTATCCTCTTTATGCTTCTGAAAACCCCTAAAAAAGAATCATTCCCAAAGACTTGCACGAATATTATTATCAATTTTTTTTTAATAGATGACTTAATAATTTTTAAATGCTGTCATTTATTAAAACTGATTTGATTTTTATATTGATTCTATAAAAAGTAAACAAATTAAAATTTTATAAATAAAAATAAAGCAAAAAATAGAAGGAAAAAAAAAAAAAGATTAAAAATAAGAAAGCGCTACCGGTTATCTTTTTTTTTTAGGTTATTGAAAACAGTATTGATTTAAAATTTTAAATTTAGTGTTACATCATTAAGATTGATTATAAAAATCAATTATTAATGCCATCAAATTATAATTTTCTTTTTTTTAGTATGTAACAAAATTAAAATAAAATGACGAAACTGCAATGGGAACGACAATTTTGGTAATCTACAACATATAAAATGATTTTAAAAAATATCGGGTAGTTTCAAAAAAAAAGAATATTTCTTAATTTTCAATTATACTAAAGATGTCTTATGATAAAATTAATATAAACGAATTTGTTTAATTATTATAATCCTCATTGTGGTAATTATTGCCGTTAATTATGCCCATATAAACTGAAGAATTCATCGAAACAAGAAGATCCAAAAGAGCCTGTACCACAAAAAGAAACCGAGCCAAAATCTCTAATGAATGAAATCAAATATATACAAAAAAAATGTATAATATATTTCATTGAAAATAATTTCGATAAGTTAAAATAAATAAAATAAAAAAAAAAATAAAATATTTAACCAAACGAATAGGATTTCCATTTGAAAATAGAAATATTCGAATAACGAATTTAAAATAAATTCTAAAGCTTCCTTTTCTTCTTTCTGTCCCCTCGCTGAATTTATCTAATGATCAGATCGTATTTTTTAAAAAAGAAAAAAATGTTACAATGATCGTTGATTTTTTCAATATTCGATATTCGCTCGAGATCATATTTTTATTTTTAAAAATATATATATATATATTGTATAATAAAAAAAATTACTTGAAGTTATTAAATACAAACAGAGATTTAAACTCACTTAAACTACGACTTTTATATTGAATAAATCAAATAAAGTTATCAAATCAATATAAAATATTGTTTCAAAATTTGCTACATAATATATTAAGCTATTTGATATATGTATACTTTAAATCCCTCGTACACGATATTACGAACATCCTTAGCTTTATAGATTAAAGAAATTAATAATCGCCATCCATTTATTCATTTCACAATGACGAGCTTAAGATACAGTCAATGACACAAAACTATGCGGACATTTTTAAAATCAAAAAAAATTATATACACATAATATAATAAAAATAAATTTTTAACAAAATAAAAATTCAAATATATCTTTTTTATTGATTTATAAAAAAATTTAATAATTAATCCTATTTCCATTTGCGGCAATTTGCCGCGCATGCTATCGATCAGTTTTTGCAATATTCCGGAGGAATATTTTTTCATGCATCCTTTACATACTTTTCAAGTGCGGTGGAGTTGGTGTTAAAGAACCAGTTTCGCAAAGACGTTTAAGAATAATATAAACAGTCATTTTTGCTGATTTGCTATGGTATAACCCGACTGTCCACATTTATAACCATAAGCAATAGCACCACACCACGAGTTTTTGGAGTAAGTACTTTCATATTTGACATGAACTTACTTAAGAGAGAAAAGATTTGGGGTATTTGTTTATCATTATGAGTAAAAAATGACGTTTATTTTTAATTATGTAATCACCTAACGATCGACCTGCCTAATTTTGACAAATCAAAATGTGTGTCCGCGTGCTATATACGTAATACCTGTAGTATACAAAATAAATAAAATGAATACTATAGCTACAAACGCTTAGCAAACAAAAGAGTAAATAGATAGTAAAAAAATGCAATTTAGATAAAACTATTCAATTATTCACCTTTTAATTAATTGATTCAGATTTTATCACTGTTTATCTATATAAAAAAATTTTTTTTATAATAGACTTCGTCTTTGCTTTGGATAGAGAAATTTGGAGATCTTCTCTTAAAGCCTAATACGGAGAAGAGTACACATCTTGCACTTTCTTCGTTTAATATAATTGATTCGCCTCCATTATAAAATTTCGCTTTCCTCTTACCGACTTAACGAGATGACACATCCAATAGTTGGCGTGGCAGTAAAAATCCTAAAAATCAAAAAAAAAAAAAAAATTTAAAATTTATAAAAAAATTTCAAAAAAAAACTATTTCTATCCTTATTTCAAATATTTGTCGCAGATAATAAGAATCTAAAAATATATATACCTTACCTCCATTCGTTGCCGCAGTAAAAATAGAGAGAAGTAAATATCTGAACGGATTTGGTAAAACAATTACGCTAAAACAACTGCGTAACTTTGCCAAAATCCTTAACTACTCTCTCCTGCTACAATAATTAATTAACAATTTGGATTTGTCAAGTTCTAAAAAACTTAAAAAAATTGTTGAGATGGATACAGAATATCTTAATAATGGTAAGATATGTATCAGAAAAGCATTAGTTTTAGCTTTGACATTAACTTTGGCAATTTTTCGACAAAGAATATCTTTAAATATATGTAATATTTCCTCCTGTGCCAACTTGAAACGTTAGAATATTGATTTAAGAAATTGACTCAGGTAGAACGCCCAATTAAGAAAAGTGATTATGTAAATGATACAAGAAAATCGATAATATTTTGAATTAATTATTTTATGCTATAATCATCTAACATTTTTTGTTTTTTATTATTATTATCTTATAAAGAAATGTTTTAATAATAATCTTATTTAA